ATCAACATCTCGACCAAAACCCACTGGTGAGCTTCAGAGGGTAAATCGAGAAAAAAATCAAATAACTCGAAGTTCTCTGAAAACTTGCTCATAGGGATTATTTGACTTGCTAGTTACGAAACTCATATCTGTTCAGCAAGATAGCTTCGTATTCTAGGTCATGACGAGTAGAATTTCGGACGACAAAATTTTTCCCAAAACCCACTTCTATCTCCATTGGAAAAAAAGCCTGCTGCTACTTTTATCGCCTCTATAATCTGCAAAGGAGGTACTATGTGTATTGTCCTTGCTGGAGCCTTTTGGGCGATGCGCGCTGCTTTGCGTAGATAGTCCGCAGAAGGATTCAAGATACTGAAATCAGAATATCAGGGACATGCTGTATATTGAAGGATTTGCCTTGATGAACTGAGCACAATGCATCTTTCGATCAGTGCATAAGGTGGTTTCATAAGTTCGTAGAGTTTTTATAAATTAACGAAATGACAAAATTTTAGCAAAATCCAATCAACAGTGTATGTTCAGGTATTGCGCACAACCTTCTAACCATGCCATCAGTGTTTCAGTCCCGTTTTTCCAAAACTCAGCGGGTCCGGTCCCAAAAAAGTCGTCTAAGCAGCGCTTGAGATTGTCTTCAAAATCAGAACAAACGCCGTTCATATGATCTGTGATAGACTGGAACAGAAGACAATATGCTAGAGCGAGATCTCAGGAGTACATTGAGTGCTAATGAGCCTCCCGGTCAAGTCTTGCAGGACAGGTCTTGCAGGACGACGGTTGCTGTAGAGGACCAACTTTTATCGCGTAAAAAAGCTCACTGTTTTTTAGGCCTTTTCTGCAGCAGGGATTGATTTAGATGTGTGGTCGGGTTGCATACGATATGGACAACCATCTTGTTCTTGCCCAACAAAATTCAGTCGATTCCTGCCCATCCTGCACAAAGTCTTGTTCAGGTGACACCCTGCAAACTCTTTGTTTTAGAAGCAATCCAATCTTCCTTTTTTTCTCATGTTGACGAGAAAACGCCTTCTTTCATAATTGGCAAGAAAATCTGAGCAAAACGCTCTTTTTCTATAGAAAAAAGGGCAAGTGCCGAAAATGCCTCTCTTTGCCTTTCGAAGACTCCTTCTTTGGAAGCTGAGGAATCAAAGCATCAGCCTTTCATAGGAAATAAGTAGCCTGTTTTGAAGAACATGATTAGTTTTTCTCGATGATGTACGCATCTTGCCGCAAATCAACCGATCCTCAAAGAATTGAGAACGGGAATGAAAACTCTACGAATTTATGAAACGACCTAATATATTCATTCCGAAGGAGGTCACGGCGTGGAATTTGGAAAAGCGTGCGTGATGTTTCCAGAATTTACCATCGCTTCTATTTCTTTTGGAAAGAATTCTGCGGCTACCTTTTAAGCACATGATAACCTGCAACAACAATGCTATTGAACAGTTCTCACTGTAACCTTTGTGTTGGATAGGCGCTGCATTACATCCCTGCGAAAGGACCTCCGCAGAAGTTGCAAAAAAATGGAAACGAATTATCGAGGCATGCTGTATACTGAGAAATTTTCTTGACGAGCTCAACATAATGCCGCAAAGGAAGTTATGGCGCTGCGTACTTTGCGTGACTCCCATGATTCTGCGAAATTCCGAAAATGTCGCGGACTTTCGCGAAACTTTTGCACATTCTGTAAGCGGTATTGTACCATAAGCTGATTTTAGAACAAATCGATCAGAGCGGCTTTCTACCACACTCCTACAGTATCCCTACAATGTGCCATCAGCAGCAAATAAATGGCAATATTGTTATCAGCACACTGAACAAACCAACTAAACAAAAATCTGCAAAATGGAGCGTACTGTTTGCTGTTTACCTGCCGTACACCCAGAGTGTGACACTTTTATATACTAGATGATGCGTCTCGCCGAGCTGAATCGACATTGTCCCTGAATCTAGAATACGTTGTTTTGAAGCAAGTTATGGCAATGTTGGAAGATCCCGGCGCACTCCGCTAGAGTGCGGCAACTTTTTTTTATGAATTATGAGCGATATTATGTTGTTAAAGCTATCAAGTACACTCTTCAAAGTTTGTTGCACATACTTTATTGTAATACAGCTTCATATGTTATCAAAAAGTATGACAAAAACTTACCACGGGCGTTTATTGATAACTGTTTGAAGTATGGATGTCAAGCATTTGGATGCTCTTGTTCAAACTGATCTATGTTCTTGGGTAAAAAATGCTAAGAAGAGATTTGTTGAAAGAAACTTCAGAAAATATGTTGAAAAATGAAGACTGAGCGTTTGCAGAGCAATAAGATTTGCAAAGCTTACATGTATGGCCTTGTGCCCAGGTGAATACATAACGCATGTAAAAATAAGGTGGAAGGTGGGAGCTGCCGTCAGGTCAGAGAGCATGAGACATAGTGTGCTCTTTGAAAGGAAGGTGCCAGCGCGTCTACGTGTCCCTACCACGTCAAGATGCTGACACCTTGCTGGCGGTGTCTGTGAGTGTGGATAGTGCGGCAATGTCACACAGTTTACATAATCAAGGAAAAAATCTGGAGTGGTAGTAATTTGGTCGAAACCATCATGTTAACTGTGTTTTCATGACACCAGCTAACCAGCAGCTTCACATCATTTTCCCAGCGAAACCACGAATTAACCAGTAGGAAACCTCGAAATGCTATCTTGCAAAGCAAAGTCATTGGAGAAGATCGAAACTCCAACCATTCTCATGCTTGTCGGCAATCATTGCACTTTACCAAATTTGCAGTTCGGTCTCCAGCCTTGCACCTTCCTATAACCTTATCTAAGCTGTAAACAAGTAAGCTTTCTCATAGTAAGTTGCAGAATGATCTCCCTCACTCTTCTTAACTTGCAAAACCAACACATCATTGTTTGAAACAAAAAAGTGGTCGGGGGTACTTTTTCATTTTAAACTATGATGTGGTGGTTTCACGTCTGCGTCTCATGAAATGAAGTGCTGTTTTCATTACTCTATCTGATAAGGGAACATTGTTGTTAACCTGCTGTTTAACTCATAGTTTGGTTTAGAATGAAACAAGCATGAAACAGTTATGGTTTTCTGCTAGTTACTTGCTTGTTTCATGATTTTCTATGACCGATTGAACTGACTGGCCGTGAAAAGATGATCATGCTTACCACGATGTAACCATGATTGAACTATCACATCATTTGTTGGTTTCGGCCAAATTACTACCACTCCAGAAAATGCTACTTTCTATCAAAGAAATTATCATTTTTTGTCGCGATACAAGTATTCTTGTTTGGCCGGATGATAACCAAAAACACGATTTCGGTGATACCGCAAAACTCTGAAAAGCACCGTTTACTTTTTGCCATTACTTCTACGTTTGCGACGATTTCGCCTGTTCCTTGTCTATGTCAATCAGCGGCTCTTTTAGACCCAAAGTCTACAAACATAAGTACTGATTATGCCATACGGGCGCCATTTGCTTTTGGTTCCTTCTATATCCTTGCGAAAAGCAATGGCCCGTAGTAAACCCCCATCAAGGCATCTCTCTTGAGGCGGGCCGGAGTTGATCTCATCGCGCCTCAGCAAATTGCCAAGGGAGCGATTGATTTGGAGCAGATCACTTACTGGATGTTCGCGTTTTCAAAGGTGGAAACGTTTCTGCCACTTGTGCATCTTTAGTCAAATGGATAAGAATAATGCGTTTCAAGCGGCAGGCCGTGGTTCGAGTGCGGCTAGCGACACCGTTTTTGCTACTTGGCTGGCGACTTTTGATAACGGCCGCTGTCGAAAAAAATCGATGATAGCCGGTATCAGAGATTTCACCTGGCAAAAAAGAGATAAAACAAATACGCATATTTTGGTATTCATACAAAGAAAAATTACACTTGGAGAAAAATGAGTAGGAAGGTAAATTTACTTTCTTTTTATCTGAAGCGGTTCACTATCAAAAACAAGCAACATCCGCAAGAAAAATGCAAAAAAAAACCTTTTTTCCATTTCGTCGCGCAATCGGCTGTTCATCGATCCTCACTCATTTGGGCGCCCGAAATTGTGCAGTTTTGGGAGTTTTGCACCGCAAAAGAGCGTCAGCTGCGATGTTTCGTAAGTTACTCGGGAGCAACTTACGGAGGATTTCTCTGTGCTCTCCTCTTTAGCACAGTATTTACCTAACGTCGTCGCCCGGCTCATCTCCGATGACTCGGCAGGGAGGTGATCTCCCTACCGGGCTTCATCTGAAGCTCACCTGTAGGGTGACCTTCCATACTTACACTACGGAAACGCGGGAAGTCCTCATCTCACTCGGCAAAACCTCATATGAGAGCCTCAGGGGAGATCATCTCCCGTGACCGAGCTTTACTACGGGCCAATGATTTGCAAGTGGTCGAGTGGTTAGCGCGGTTGCGACGCATGTAGTTCCGAGCGCGCGCAAATGTTTTGGGCGGTCTGCGTCGTCAAAATTCTATGTGGATGGTGATTGTGGAATAATATATGACTTAATCAAATTCAACGATTATTCCGCGAGCTCCGGCGGAGTTGGCAACTTTCCGCGATGTGTACCAACTTCCCTGTGTCTATGATGCCACCAGGTGGGTAGACTACCACCGGTCCCGAAAACAGCCTAATTTTCTGCGAAGCATTCAGTTCTGCTTTTGTCGTACACAGATACATCCAATTTATTCACTATTGTCAAAGCAATAATAATCTCTAACATCCTTGAAACCGCTGAGAAAATGAGTGAGCTTCTTTGTACAGACAAGATTTATTATAGTATTATCATTACTAATAGCGTAAAGCCTTGGCATTTGGGGCACGAGCTAGATGCATCTGGCGCGGCTGAAAATGACGCATTAGCGGTCTTAAACTACGAAAGTAGATAAAATGAACGTACTTGAAATTGACCCAATGGTTGTAGTTCTCCGGAGTTTCCGATTTCGTTCCCGTACAGCTGGGGAGGTTGTGGTTGCATACCGTTGTTCTGAAAAGACACGAATAGCAGAAGAAACTACGTTGAAAAAATTGCCTGTGGTCCTTCGTTGTATATTGGCACTGGTTGGCCTTGAGAGATTATTTGTGGTCCTTGTCCTTCGTTATACATTGACATTGGTGGACCTTGAGGTGGCTGATTATACGAGGGCATGGGAGGTCCCGCACTGTAAGGTACAACGAATTTTGTTTCTGTGAAAGTCATTTCTTTCCAAATATTTCGCCTAACATTGTATTTTGAGCAGATAAGAGACAGTGCTCAAACCTTCTTAAGAATCTCGCGTCAAGATAGTTTATTGCGAGTCGTATCGCTAAAAGAATTTTCGCCTTATTTCTCATGACTTGATTTGGTTTTCGAGCAAATTAAATTGATTTCGTAATCCGAGAAGCAACATTATTAGTTTACAGCACACGCACAATGACAGTCGTGATCCGGTAAGCTGCTGTGCAGGACCACCAAGCATTCCTCCAGTGACCAACGGTAGCGGTGAGTTGCCTACCACCACATTCTGCACCGGCTGGGGCAGAGCATATGCTGGTGCAATTCGTGAAGGTGGTGGGATTATTCTGAAGAATCACACTTCTTATTTGTGCAGATTAGCGTTAGTCAAAATACAAATACAAGCAGAAGAGTAAGTTCGGGCTCAGATTAGTGGCGGAAAACAAGTGTTAGAGAGTAATGCTGCTCTACAGAAGCGGTTCCTCTAAGCAGCATATCACAAAATCTGACGACCAGTTCACCAATTGCTACCATTGCCCTAATCCAGCTACTACTCGGCCTAGATAAGACACTCACACGTTTGGTGGAGTTTGATATGCTGGTTGTTGAACAATCCTAAAAGATTACGCACAGTGATATAAAAGTGGTCTAAGTGTGAGTCTAAGGCTGTAAAATCCCAGTACAGACCAAATCCATACTACCAAGCTAGTTTTGTCTACACTTACATAGGCTGTACTTCTTGCACAATTTGTGGGGGAGGTTCTTGCATAAGCCTGGAAAGGATGCAGTACAAATGCAGCCATTTCACTAACGCTTCTAGGAAGTCTAAGCTAAAGCAATTGAATTCTACTATGCTCCGAAAGAGTTTGCTATTCCACTAGCAAGCATCAAAAGATTTCCAAGATAAAGGCTTCACATTTTTTGCAACTTCAGAATTTCTACTAATTTCAGCTAACTCACACTGGCTCTTGCCGAGGGGGCAAAACTGGAGGTATCTCTTCAAGATCACTGTAAATTGTATTAAAAGCAACCATCATTGACAATTTGTTAGTGTGTAATGATTACTGCGAGGTAACGATGTGCATATTCAAAATCACACTTTGAAACAATGATTTCTCAGAATTGTGTTAGAATCAGTATATCTAAAGTTGTCCAAAGACCCGCGTAAGAACATGACGACCGTGAACGGACTATAGGTTTGAACTGAAGCTTCAAACACATGGACAGAAAACTATATATTAAGAGCATTGTTTTGTGAGTTCTTTTATACTCGCATCGAATTTAATGCCATGAACTTGAAACAATTATTTGTCACCAAGAAAAACTATTTGACTTACTATCCTTCTTGAACAATTCGTCGTCTCGGAACTCTGGCGAAGATTGGAATCTGAAATTCCTGGTTATGGATACAGTTGCAGTGTTGTGAAAAAAATCGTTATTCAATGTGCTCAAAATGTACTTAATATTTTACAGTAATTTCCATGTTCCATAATTATCAAACACTTTCGTAAGTGTCGAATGTTCCTGAGCCGAACAGGTTGTTAGCTGGTCCTTTATTCGGCAAAGCAATGTTCGATATATTTAGGGTCATTATAATGGACGAAACGCAGTTTACAGCGATTACTTGATGAACTGAGCAAGGCTCTCAAAGTCTAACGTTTGTTATAATTCGCCTGAAGGAGCATCAAAAATCCGAAAATATTGGTCCAAGCAGATCTGGACTTATGGGGATTTTAGGTGGAAAGTAATTTTGGGTCCCTAACTAAGGCACTGCCCAAGCGGCAGCGCAGGTGACTCACTGGCGGCTGAGATATACGCCTCCAAACTGGACCCTAGGATCGTATTCGCATGGATTCATGGCGCAACCCATCAGATTCGCGCGAAGTCCCATGCGTTGCGCCATGAATCCATGCGAAATACGGCCCTGGGGCCCAGTTTCGAGTGGAATACCCCAGCAATTAGTGCACTAAATGAGCCGCCGGCTGGGAATTGGCTTAGTGAGTCCCAAAATCACTATCCAAGTGAGATCCCCCTGTCTCCAGACTTGCCTGATGCTGCCTTCAAATCACTAACATTCTCATATCTTTCCTAGGGCAAGTGACGTGTACCAAGTGACATACATTTGGTTCCTGCACTGGTTACGATGAAAAACACGAGCAATAGATACTGTAATATTACTGTAGCAATAACTCACCCTTTGATACCCGATGATAGTTGGAGGAGCATATGCCATGCAGCAGGTTGTGAATGCTGGTGGACCACAACATGCATGTGCCATTGTGACGAACGACAATAATATGATTGACTTCATAGTGAGAAATCTGAAACAATAAATCTCCTCATTAATAAGGGAGCCAAAGAAGCGAGAACCGTGAAATTTTGTTACTCTTTACAGTAACACTTCACTCAAATGCCTGAACAAATTCGCCCCTTTAGAGCTCTTTAAAAATGCCCAATCTTTCCGAAGGTGCATAGAATAGTGCATTTATAGAGTGAGGCTTTAAGGATACTAAAATATGAAGGTAATTTTTTGCTTTTAGTGTTTTCAATTTTTGGAGCATCTGCTTTCGAGTATTCAAAAATGCGATAGCCGAACGGTGTTTCCAAAGAAGAAAATTGTATTACGACTAGGTCTACGCCTGCTAAAAGTTTGAGTCGAAATATGTTTGAGGGAATCTAGCTTCTTGAAAAACGATCGAAGTTGTGGAAGAACAAACTGGCATTTTCTCGCAACTATTAGGTTGGCACATATGTTTTGCAACTTATTCCGTAACTTTTCACTTTTTAACTATAACGCGTTCATTTTTGAGCATAGTATAGATTAGGTAGTAGGCTACAAATGTGGGCAAACAGTTTGATTTTTAATGGAGAAAATTCACGCTTTTTTTGAAAGCTGTTCAAATTAGAAATCTCAAGTGTCGGAAAACCAAAAAATAAAGCCATTCTCAGTCTGAATCAATCATATCAAGCCAAAACTGTGCCCAGATTGTTGGTAGAGGTAACTCTAATGATCTATTTAGTTATGGCTTGTTGTGCTTGATTCAGACCGAGAAGAGCTTCATTTTTGGTTTTACGACCCCTGAAATTTCGAATCTGACCAGATCTAGAAAAATGCGTAAATTTCCTCCACTTCGCTATCAGAAGAACCGTTTGCGCACATTTATAGCCTACTTCCTAATCTACATTAAGCTCAAAAATGAATGCATCACAGTCAAAAAGAGAAAAGCTGCGAAGTAAGTTGGAAAATGAAGTTGCGAAATAAGTTAGAAAACAATGTGCCAATCTAATATTATAATTTCTAGCCATATGCTACAGCACCAATGCCAATGAGAGATAATGGTAGATTGCAATTTTTGGTTGTTTCTCGCCAAATCGAGAAACCCGGGAGAGAGTCGTTGAAGAAAATGATAATCACCCTGAGGCGAGTGGCTTCTTAAGGCCGTCGTAAAACAGGAAGCCTTATAAGACACGTCGAGACCGCCTGCTGGCAGCTGAGACGGCATCGTGGAGGTCACGACATGGCATGACTTACAAATTACGGCATAGAAACTGGTATGAAGAGAAATTTTTACCCCGAAGCCACAAATTCTTTCCCTCATTCTCGTCTCATCTTCACTTCCGAAGTTTAGGGGAATGATTTTTGTGAAGCGTATTAGAGGCCTAGGCGTAGAAGACCTGTCCAAAGCTACAATTTCCATATTCTGCTTCTCCTCTATTGCTTTTCTCAGAATATAATGGCCAAAGTGGTACAAATGCATTTAGAAAGATTTCATACATTGTAGTTGTTATTCCCGAAGGACTATCTTGGGCAATGCTCGAGGGAAATTGGTCGCCAGTGTTCTCAGAAAATAGACTTTTCCTTCAGAAACGAACTCTTTCTACCGAATGCCTTTATTGTTCTTTTAGTGCTTACCGAAGACTAGTAGAAAAGCGATATGTTGCTTCATTTTTCATTTCAAGTAATAAGAAATCAAACAATCTATTAGAGGTCTCAGATTCGCAGCAAAATAGAGCAGATTTTATATGCAACATGCAGGAAAATTGTTGTCTGAATAGCGATACATATTGGTGAATGATATATGTGATGAATGACAACTATATGTAGCGTGTTTCACTGTCTCACTGCTCAACCTGTTCCAGCAATATCTCGCTAGAATTACGCAAGACTAGAAACACCCGAATTCGTCGACGGGAATCACAACTAGCGCATCACCTTGAAGGAGCTGCGATTATCACACCGCAGTGGCGAGAATAAGTCGTAAATAGGATAACGTATTTAAACATGCCGATTCACGGGCATTTTTGTCTGTACATCCAAATTTTTGGAAAACAGCAAAATAAAAAAAATGTAGTACGCGCCGCAGTATTGACATTCATAATATCACGAGATATCACGGGCTGTCCTTCCTTCCTGAGGAGTTCAGGGGAGAGTCCGGAGTCCCTACATTCCGCCTAAGGGCAGAAACGAAACGTAGCTAAGATATTTCTTTTACAAAATTGATTTTGAACAGAATATTGTAGTATATTGTACACTTTTGCGTACTACTATTTCTGTTTCTATATATAATATCGCTGAGCAGCATTTATTTCCCATATTTCAACAAGCAAGGAAGACCCAGGCTAGGGATATTATTGAAGTTTAAAAAGTTCGGCTTTGACTGCTAAATATAAATGGTTTTAGCTATCAAGATACTTTACCTTTCCATGCATGGTTCTTTGGGCAAAGTTGCCTTCATTTGGCTGAAAATATTGTACTGTTGAGCTATCATTCACACAGCAAAATCTGCTTGTATTTTTCAAGTATCATCTACGCAGATTTATTCGGTAAAGTTGGCAATGGGATTTTAAATTTTACGTTCGCTAGAGAGGGACGATAAGGTCAGCAAATCCCGACTAGATGAACACTAACACATTGGGATGTCGATGCAGAGTTCTCAGCATCTGCGCAACATCAAATGAGGAATTCTAACAAATTCTTTGATATTTCCCCAAATTAACGAACACAACTAATCACATTTTCTGTCTTCTACACACGAGCCCGGCATTCAACTACTTGCTGATTTTATTTACTTTATTTCTCATGAGTCCACAACATGGTTCGTGTAAGCGAAGATGTCAAAAATATTGTAATTTTGCTAAATAGAGGCGGACTGAGTTACTGCGCTATTATCGTATACGTACAGTAAGCATAGTAGAGGCGTGATTTTTGAGTGAGCTGTACAAAACAGCAAATTTCTCTTTTAACCTTTTTTTCGAAAATACTTTTCATAGAGACTTTCGATCAGTGCAGACTCTGCTCAGATAGAAAAAGCAGGTAATAAAACAGTGACACCGATGTTTCCGATTTTTCTTGCAAGTTTCAGTTTACAATACATAAAATTGAAATTTGAAAATAATGTTGCTACTTCTGTTACGCTAAGTATACTAAGTAAAAGGTGATCAAAAAACTCTCATGAGGAGCATGATTTCCTCTTCAGAAAACTTAAATCAAATATCGGTTGGGAAAAATCGGAGGTTCTGGATTTTTGAAAATGGTGGGAACAGACTTTTGCGAACACCAGTACTCTTCATGGCAATCAAGAGGCTTTTCTTCTCATTATGAAAGCACACGCTGTTTTTTGCTAAAGATAAGCATTCAGATCGCTCAGCTTTGGGAGCAAGCCTTCATCATTAGACAATAGTAGCTCTGCATCAAGGAACTTCGAGGTGTATCTACTCAATATAAAGTTCGTCAACCAGAAGAGTAATCACAGTATTTAGTGGAGATTTGCTATCTGACAAACTAAGGCCTCATTCTTTATTTGTCTTTATGATTTGAGAACAAAACTTCTGATTTAGTACCCTGATTTTACGAGTACAGCGCACCTTTTCCGGTTTTACAAACAAGCAGTTTGGCCGCACCAGTGCCTCGATTGGTCGCCCCCCACACATGTCTTTTAGGTAAGCGGGAGCACGGTAGAAAGTCCTTGTCGCAAAATTTTTTGATGTGTTCACGCTGGTCGAGTTTAGAAAAACAGTAGCGTTTGGCACATAAATA